CTGCCGGATAAACCGTCCAAATGTCTCAGTTTTTGCTATTCTGTGCCGCAAGTATTGATAGCCGATGTTCCTAGAGTTCGCAAAATCCTCGATGGCAGGAAGCTGCTTACGATTCCTTGCACAGTAAAGCCTGTATAAAACTGCAGCATTGCTAATTTGCATGGACATCAGTCTGGCAATAATAGACACGACGGGGTTTTCACTAATTTTGCAGCGAGCCAGTGTCTTCATATAGCGAGAAATGACGTCTACCCCACCTTTAAGGTGATTCCAGTACACTGTGGGCGTTAAACGTATCATACGGGATGGAGGAATTGGGGCATTTCGTTTTTCTACACACTTGCGCAGAGCTTCACTGAGACTGTAGTATGACATGAAACTGTGTATGTCGGATGCATGAGAAAGTTGTAGCATGTCGTCATATTCCTTTGGGATATCCTTTGCGTCACTCCCTATCCAATTAAACCCTGTGTGTCTCACGCAGTCCAAAATATAAGTGTACTGATGACGAATGGTCTCAGTAAAGTTAACCATGCACGCGTAGAGTATCCTTCCTTCGGTCATAGACCCACTTGTCGCAACCACGAACAGAACTGAGTTTATGCCAAGTGTTGCCGCATGGTGCAAACATTGTGAACGATATTGTGTGGTGGGGACAAGCTCGTGGAATAGCTCAGTACTCAGTAAATTGCCTCCAACGTCTGAAAGAATAATTAGCTCGCCGTATCTGTTCGCTTTCAAAGAAGCGGACTGTATTGTAGTCAGTGCAGTCATGGTCTTGATTTCTACAGCAAACACCTGGATCATTCCTTCCTCATTCGAAGCAGCTGCGATAGCATCAGGGCTATCAGCAAGCAATCGGCAGCTTTTGCTCTCAAGCAGGCCCGTGCTACGCACATGCAGCACTTTAAAGCGAGTACTTTGATCAAATGAATATGATGCACAAAATAACTGTTTCATGTACGCCCCTTTCTGATCTTCGAAGAAGGCAGGCAGAGCCTTTGCAACTTCAATTTCGTTGCGTGAACCCTCCTTCATGCCCATCGTTGTAACTAATGGTTTCATGACCCAAGCCGAGACCGAAGCTTCCTGTAGGGACGCCTGAGTGCTTTTTGTAGCAGCTGCGACCATGGCGTCTTCAGACAGCTGTCCATCTTCGCCCCCATCTAAGTTGACTGTCTCGTCAATAATGTCCTGTTTGAGCTGTAGAACAGCTGCGACAAGCTCAAGCTTTGGAACTCTTAGTTCCAGGCCACGCCCAAAGACGGCTAGCGTTGCTTGCAGGTCACTTTTCGTAAAAGAATTGATCCTGGACTGCGAGTACCTCCTAACCCGACCCGCCATCATACGCCTGTCTGAGGGCCTGTCAATGGTTTGTTTTCGAATTGCCAGGGCATCAAGCACAGTTTCCCAGCGCTCTGAGATACACCGTTCTGTTTCGGTGATATCGTCCGGTAGGGTGTTAGCCCCATCGCTGATACGTCTACCACGCAATTTCGCTGCCATTCCTCTCAATCTCGTATCGTAGTCCCGTGCCACAGCCGCGACAAACCCATGGGCTGTCCTTGAAGTAAATCGAAATGCCCGCAGTAGAAACCAGACTGGATCTTCGGATTGTAGATACGTTAACGCATTGACACGATTGAGTGTTTGATTGACAATCCTGCGTCCGTCCTCCGAAAATACGGACCTGTTCGGCGCCCCTCTGTCTGGACCGGAACTGAATACCACGAGGGACTCACTGAGCTCCTTCATACCTGCATCAGAGCGAAAGGCATCTTTCACGACGACAGTAAAACATCTGGAAGGAAACATAGCGGCATTATTATGTACCAGGGCTGCTATCCTGCCAGAACAACTTTCCCGATAAATACATGCCTCTACCTGTCGAATCCCGAACCTCACATGTGAACCAGGTTTTAGACGTGCATTATAAACTGCACGACATCCTTTCTCGGACACAATAACTCCTCTGTGCCTCGCAGTGATAGGACCATCTCCGAATACATAAGGGTACCATAAGTCTCGTTTATGTGTACCAATTAAACTGGCCCCGAGAGTGCACCCCACAAACTCAATTGTCTCTTTCGAGTTATAACATCTGTCTGCGGCAAAGATCGCCTCTGGCATTGCCCGTAGTGCCCCATTTGTAGATGCCCCCTGCACGAGCTGTGCCAAACGCTCCCACGTATGACGCAGCTTCTCGCCATGCCTTGTAAAGTGACAGGCAATAAATAGAGGGTTTAACGCTGAACAAATTGCATTTCCCACTGGCCCTAGGCCTTTTTTGGGATTGTTGTGCTGTTGAAGGTAGGTTAGATTCATCAAAGCTCGAGAGGCCATGCGAAGATGGTCATCGTCGGGGGAAAACACTGTAGCATTAGGTACATAGAGTAACTCACGATTGATTGAAGCGACCTCGGACTCCACAACTGTAATCATAGACGTGGCTCTGTTTGCACTCCTGCACCACCCTGTTGGACTGTAGTCATGAACTGCTCGCTTTTCTTTGGTACCGCTTAAAGAAGACCACACCTCATGATACCTCTGAGAAGTTATTCCCATCTGCAAGAAGTTTTCTCGCTCGGTGGGGTCAGATACAGTTGTTGGAGACTCATTGTACATCGCGCACAAAGCGTGCAAAAAAAAATTCCTTCCAACTCCAAACGATCTGTGGCTTTTCTCCGACGGTGCAGCAGAACTCTATTTGAAAATGATACCAGCTTCTGAAGGAGACAGTCCGTGAGAAACGTTTCAAAGCATGCCAACGGCGTGATGGTGACAGGTAGCTCGCAGGTTTCCGGATTGTGCCGGGACTTTATGTCTTCTAGAACATTTTCCAGTACTGTGTTAGCCTCTGTCACAAACCGCAGGCCTAAAGTAGTATCGACATCATCAATCTTCACTTCCACTGAAGAGAAAGGGCTGTCATAGTCCCAATTTGTACGCCCCCCATTTTGATGACCCCGCGCTCGACCCTCAAGCTCCTGATCCGATACTGGAGCTCGAATAGTAGAGTCCTCAGTTTCCATTACACCTGTCCACGGCATATTGACATACCTCTCGTCATCAAAGTCTGCAAACAGCCTACTGTGAATGTCTTCACAGAGATCTCCGCCGGAATCGCATGTCGATGATAAAATATTTGAAACACGAGTGGCACTACATAGAGATTGTAGTTCTGAGTCTGCAATGTGACAGGTGGCTGCGGTAATTTCCTCCGAAGAGCAGGAAATTCCAGGTGACGCAATGGGCTCTTGGGAGAATGGCACATCACTCGAGTCCATTGAGTCATCCACGGCTGCCAATTGCTGCTGAAAGGGCGAGCATGGTATACTTTCCACCATATCCGAAGGCATTCCTGCGTCATGAAGCGTACTCATTTGATTGAAGGGGAGGGGTGAGCCGCCAGGGTCTTGGGCTGGAGCAGGTGAAAGAGCAGGAGTTGTTAGAGTGCCAAAATACGGGAGGGGAGGCGATAGATTGGGAGGGCTATCGACTTGTAGTGAATGCGATTCATTGGCAGAATCGCTTGCAATTTCAACTGATTTGTGCTGGTCTCTATCTGCATTTTTTGAAGTCTGCGGCCGCGCAGGACTGCTCTCGCTATCACCCACATCTGGGTCTGTACAGAGAGCGCGATCGCTCATGATCTCCGTGCTTGCCTGGAAACGGAGTTGTTTGATAGAAGGGAGATTGAGGAGGGACGCAATGGGGGTAAGAGGGTATCGTGAAAGGAGATGTTGTAGAGTTAGGAGACGGTTTGTGAGGTAGAACACATGAAAAGAGACGATGTGTGCAATCGATGAGAGACGTGTACTTCAATCTGGTACAATCATCCAATTGCACATATCTCTCATTTTCCAAGTAGATTTTTGTGACGATCCGCCGCCGTCTCTTGTGACAAGTATACAAAATCGTCACAAATTTTGTAGACCCTAGAATCGTCTACAACCGGAGCACAGGGATAAGGATCTACTGTAGACTCCGTTTGGCCTTCGCGCTTACCCTTGCCGAGCCTCGGCCAATGCGTGGTTCTCGCTCCACCATACTTGCCACTCAGACCCTTAATAAGTAGCCGCGTCTCTCTGGGCCTGCCAGAAGGCCGGGTGACCTTAGAGCCTCTTCTAGATTGTACTCTTGCTCTCCGCGGCACTCGCAGGAGATATTGACACCTTTGTGGGCAGTCGCCACCTCTGCCTCGGCGCAAGTGGCTCACTTTCCCTTGACCCCTAGAACTCGATGACCTTCTTTTAGTCGGACTTTCTCTTAACGCAGTCGTGTCACCTGCTGGGCAGCCGTACTCGCTGGTATTATTTTCCCAAAACCCTGCTGAGCCATAACTTCTCCGGTGCCTGTTACTTGGGTAGGAGCACCATGCCTTGCAGCACCTTACTCGCCCTCTTTGGTTATCTGTCGTATCCGACTCCCTCCTGCTGCCTTGCTTGGATCGGATTCTCCTCGCAACCCCAACACACGATTTGCAATGTTTAGCACCGCTGAACGGCACCATGTTCTCACGAACTGCCGACGGTGCCCTTGTGCTCACGAGCGGCACAGTCGCGGGTATAGGTTGTCTGTCGTCTCCGCTATCACAGGCGTTCACTGTCGCTGGTGAACTTTGCGGCGCCTCATTCTTGCCGGGCTCGCCTTCTTCAGTGTCCCGCCCTATGACTGTCGTATATAAACTGCCTGTACTACTGTTTTTAGTCCCAGTTCCCAGTGAGTCAAATATTGCTGGCTCTATCCTTTCTTGCGGCAACACTATGTCCTTAATGTTCCGCCACACTCCTAAGACAGTGCTGGCTGCTATGCCAATGTCCCCCGTCACTGCGAGTGCCGCCACGGTCTTCGCCCTCGCGAAACACTCGTTGCAGCTTGTAAAATCGGACGCAGCGTCGGTTTGATAATTACTGACTACTGCATACCAGCTATTACCCAGAGTAACCAGACCGTCAGCGCTCAAGGTACAGACTCCAAAGCAACCATGCCTACCAGCCTTACGCCGAGCCTTGGGTCGTTGTTCGTACCTTAGAGCTGTATTCTCCTTCAGACGCCCGCCCCTCTATAACTCCGCCTCCAAAAGTGGTACCCCGATGGCCAGTGGTGACGTGATATAGCCCTTCACCGGTCTTCGTGAGACATATTCCTCGCTGAGTTTCATCCGGATCCATACACTTCCTTGCGTCTGTCTCCTCGTCCTCGAGTAGTGATAGTACGTACTGCGCGTCGCTGCCGACCCTCAGGCTCTTACTCTTTCTACTGCGATCTAAGTCCCGGTCGCTAGTAAGCGTCCTAGATCTCTCATACTCATTGCTCCAGGTACACACAACGAGCCCTATGGTTGTGATCAAAATGAGCGATAGAAACCCTAGGACTGACCTTGTGTCGAAGGTCGCTCTGGTCCGCGCTCCCACGTAGTTTAAGAATCTCTCGTTCTCATCCTTCTCGACGCCACCTAAAACAGACAATGTTCGCAGGTGTGACACAAATTGCATCACTTCCGACACCGTGTTGCTCTTCACCTCCCGCCGGAAGTCTCCGAGCTTCCGGTCTCCAAAGTTTAACAACCAAGCCACCGACCGAACATCAATCGTGCGGCTGCCTTCTATCCTGTAGACCGCAGAGCCCACCACAATATCACGTACAAGAACCCCGCCTTCTATCTCCTCGAGGCCCCCGTCTCTGTCACTACCGAAGTAATTAATGACGTTGTTTATCTCCATTGAGCCGTCCCCGATATCAGACACACAGAATGACAGATTGCTGTTGTACTCAAGCCTGCAGCTATAGTCAGTTCCGTCCACTACTGCATAGCCTCCGCCTGGCACTACGACCGCTTCTCCAGGCGTAATCACAGTCGCCTTAGAGTTGCACAACCTAGTGAATTCCCCGTCATCAGATGCGTTGAAGACATTATCAGCGACGCTTCCGGACAACAGTCTACTCACCTTGAGACGGCCTGGTCCTATTTTTTGTCTGAGTAACTCGTTGCCGGAAGCTGCGTGTCTTTGCCACAATCCTCCGCTCCAGACTGAAGTGATAACCAGTTCTTTCGGGATGCTCCCTTTGACATGTCCTAGGGAGCAGTTGTCCTGTGCGTGTATCAGATCGGGCGTTAGCCAGTATTCCCCGTCAAACTCACTTACCCAATTCCTATACGCTTCAGGGTCGTGTTCCACGTCCGATAGAGTAATGTCTCCTACAAGACCTGGCCCATTTATTGCGCTCATAGACCGGAACCTGCTGGGCACCACGTCCATATCGAAAGCGCCTGGGTCACACGTACTAGCCAGATTCTCTGGCAGGCCCGCAGAGCACCCGTGTCTGGTCAGAAAGCTCCATCCGCTACTACTCGAACATCGGCAAATGTCGTTGGTCGTTGGAGGTGTCACATGTCTGCGGTATACGACAGCCTCCGCCGTTTCAAACACGTCAGCTGACCCGAAGCTAAACTCCAACACTCCGCTCGAAAAGACTAGCAATGTCCCCAGTGTGAGCACAGCTAGTCTAGACGACCTGTCTACATACACAGAATGCAACATCCATGGCCCTAAACTGCTCGATCTTGGGCGCACCACTTTCCCTTGTAGCACTAGGTTAGCCGACCTAGCATCTATAGCCCTCCGGAGAAGCATCTCGAGCCCCGGCCACACTAGTAGTGACACGATGACAAACCTGATCGCATTAACTGCCTCGACACTCAAATATGGCACTGTAGCCACCGTCATACCTGAACCTAAGGTTAGAGTAATATGCTTCTCTCTGAAAGTCGGTCCCACAGCTTTACCGTTTTCCGATAGTACCGCACCCTGCTTGCCGATCAATATAGGTATGTCCTTGCTCAGTTAGCCTGCGCGTGTGCTTGTTTCTCTCACCCTTGTTTGCTGAAAAATTTTCGGAAATATACAAGCCGACTCCTATGAGTATATCTCTGGTTTTACTGTTTCGCGGCTCCGTCGTTGTACTGCACCCCGCTTGTCAGTCAATGCAGATATAGCCTCGCTCGGTTCGTCTGTGTGTGTGTTGTCCCTCTTGCTCTCGTTCGCTGAAAACTGTTTCCAAAAAAAAACAAATGTTGTCGGTGAAATGGGGGAGGCGGTTTTGGGGAGTGTGCCGTTCCGTGGTGAGGGTGGTTGAGTGTGGTTCCCCCCTTTTTTCCGCCGCAGCGCCCGTCACCCTCTCTCTTTTATTTCTAAAGGGGGGTGCCCCTAAAATGGAACGATTTTGAATATTGAAAATAGAAATACCAAAGAATGATCGGTTTTGATTCAATCAAAAGCCTTCAAAACGCCGAAACTACGGTGCATTTATCTACAAGTGGAATCGCGTCCTGTTTTCTCAACGTGGCGCATTTTTGTTTTTATTACTGCATGTATCTTTCTGGGAACAGGCTGCTCGGTCCCTCATCTCCCCTTTGACCAATCAGAACGCTTGGCCCCACATTCCAGCAATGTTTCAATTAATCCCCACCTACGCGGGAAATCCTAGAAGTTCTGCATACTGTATGTTTAGACACGGCAACCACGGCAACGGGAGTGGGAGAGGAGGGGACGGGGAAGGCATCGATGGCGGAGGGCAGAAGGGCGTGGGTGGCGGCGGCGAGGCAGCGGGTTGCGTGGAGCTGGGAGGGCCCGCTGCGCGGCAAGCAGGGGGCGTGCAGTGGCGAAATGGGCGTCCGGGAGGGTGACGGCGGGCGGGGTGGAGGACAGCCACAAAAAGAGATAAACGTCATTTTGCCCTACTGTTTGATCATATTTTCGGCAGTCGGCCTCCCAATACTGAAGAAATCGTGAAATGGCCTCCCTATGAAAAGAGCACATTGTCGCCCCCATACTGGCAACATTTTGCTAAAGATAAAAGGAATCCTTGCTTGTTGTCAAGTCTTGAGAATCACTGTACAGGATGACTAACGCGCCTCCGTGGGAGGCAGCAAAATTTCTGAACCCATTAAATCCAGCCACGTTCCAGATTCTTCCTGTGATTTACAGCAGGCCTTTTTTGGGAATCTGAGATCAGATCGCAAAAAGTTAGTAAGGCAATGAGGCCTTCCTTCATGAATCACGTGTCACTCACACCTTGAAGGGACGCCTCCTTCTTCCACCGTGCTACAACATAGGCTTGATCCATGGGCATTTATGTCCATAATGTGTATAGTATACACATTATGGACATAAATGCCCACTGTATACATGGGGGGGTCGCTCAATAGTGCCTACTTTAGTAGTGCTTCCCTCTATATAGTGCTATGGCTCACCCTCTGGCACAGGTTATCATACGCTCACACGTGTATCATCCGGCATGGTTCAGTACTCAAAGGATGAAGTTATTTACAGTGAATCCTCACTAACTGCATATGAGAAGTGGACGGCTTTCGTATGCAGTTGGCGAACATATGTATGCACTTGTCGAAAATGTCCATATATAGGGCATCTATGGAACATCAGTAAACGCCTCATTTTTATTCAAAAAATTCAGATATGCGGGTCTGCCGTGCTGACTTGGCCTGCTGGCATTTTACATCACGCTGCAAGGTGCGCAGAGAGCCCAAGACTAGCGGGTCTGCAAAGTCCGCGCTCTCAAGAAGGTGGCGCACTACAACAATACACCTCAAGCGCTCTTCATATCCGACCCCCTCCAAGTAAGATGCAGTCTCTGCATCACTTTCCTCGCTTTCAACTTCCCCTTCTGTCATCGCCGCCACTGCCCCCGACACAAGAGTTGTGTCATCGGCTTCCTCTAAAACATTGTTCTCATCCTCAGGATTTGTTATAAAATCAATATCCATCTGTGTCCGAGGTGCGACGAGTTCGGACATTGCAGCCAATACCTCTGCCACTGTACTATCTTCAACCGTTTGCACTTCTTCAGTTCCCATCACTAAACCCGTGTGATGCCAGCAATTCTTCAAAACTGAGGCTGGAATGTCGTCCCACATTCGTCTCATCGCCTTCATAGAAGTCAACTGATCGACCTTATATATATTCTCCACCGTAGCATCCATATAATCCAGCGCTCTCTCGTACTGCCACTTCCGATATCGTAACTTCAGTGCAGCGATAATGCCTGCGTCTAACGGTTGCAGTTTAGACGTAGTGTTCGGCGGCAAAAGAACAACCTCAAAGTTATCGAGTAGTGGCAGAGTTTTCTCTGTACCATGAGCTGAACAATTGTCGAGTAGAAGTAGCACTTTTCGGGATGGACTGGAACGAGAAATGTATGAAGAAAAACGTAGAATCCATGCAAAAAATAAAGCGCTCGTCATCCACGCTTTTTTGTTTGCGTGATAGCCAAACCCCAGCTGCTGTCCTTCCTGTTTCTTAAAACACCAAGGCTTCTTTGCTTTTCCAATACACATCAGTGGAAGGCGCTCCGATCCATCCGCGTTACAGCATGCCAGGTAAGTCAAGCGGACCTTCTCACATTTTCGACCAGGTAACCTTTCACTCGCTATCGTGCGATCTGGTGCCATGCCATAGAAGTGGCCAAACTCGTCCGCATTGAAAACGTCACAGTGTTTATAAAACTGAATTGTACTGCGTAGCAAGGGCATTTGACGATCAATTGCAGCCTGGTCTGCATCTCCCGATTCGCCATGAGACTTGATGGATTTAAGGTTCCACCGTTTCTGGAAACGGGTCAACCAGCCTGAGCTAAACATAAGCTTGGTTTGTTTCTGCGGCGGAAGGAACAAGTTCATGAGATGCTGTAACCTCCTTGCCTTCGCAATAATTAAAGTTCCATTCACACAGCGCCGTGCGCGAAATTGAGCATTGATCCAGGAATGCAATGCTGCCTCCAACTCTCTACAATTGCCATAAGTGTAGCGCTTGTGGATTTCTGAAGGAAATAGGGACGGGCGAGTTGCATTTTTGATGATGCGAGAGATGGTAGATTGGTTCGGCTTACGGAGGAGGTGGAATTTGTCGTAGGCCCACTGTGCGAGCGCTTCTTGGTGATATGATTCACCTGCAGAAATTCGACGCACCCGCTCGTCCATTACTTTCTGTTTCTGGACGACTGTGAGTGAGGTGAGTCGTGTATGGGAGTCCATGTTGTTTTGGTTTGGTGGTTGAGGACGGTTGTGAGGCAACTGGTAGAGCGTGTGCCTATAAACCATGGTGTTGCGATGTTTCACAGTAAAGTGAAGTTGGACTGTAGCCTAATGCCTCTGTCTTACGGCCTAAATTCTGCGTGCCGCTGCTGGTGTTGACTTTGCAGTCCGCCACCGGTGTTGAATTTGCAGTGCCGACGGCGATGGCGAATCACTGCATATTTGTTGTCATACGTTTTTATTTGTTTCATAGGTCGCCTCTGTATGAGGGTTCGATATGATTAAGGATCACTTTCTTGATGCAGTTATGCGGTATGCAGTCCAGTGTCATATGCAAGCTGGATTCGCGACTCCGCAGCTGGTAGCTGACGAACGCATGCAGATATCGAGAATATGCATAAATCGAGCATGCAGTTAGCGAGGATTCACAGTAGTTGTGTTATACAGGCTTTGTTGTGTTTGTGTTAGCAGTGTGCTTTGTCCCCAAATATATGTAGTATGGCTTAATGCTGCAATCAGGGTGTGTCTTAACATGCCCGATTTTGCTGCAGTTTGCTCTGCTTTGCCCGAAGAGGTGATGTGGCGTGCTATGAGTGGCTCCTACGTTTTAATTTTTGAGTTTAAGAAAAGTGGGGGTTTACGTTGTCAGCGACAGCCGATGCGACAATTTGAAAAGAAATTTGTGGCTGCAAAGCTGACAGACATGCGCTGTCGAAAGCATACTTTCACACCTGAACTTTCACATTTAAACATTTGAACAATTTGCATTCGAGGCAAATTATGCGGGTTACCACCATCTCTTCGAAAATTTACTGTAGAATCCGCTTGCACAATCTCCCCAGACACATTGAAATTCCTTTTCCCACGAGCCCTCTCCCAGCATCCTTCATCACATCCCCTAAGAGCATTACCAACTGGAGAACCATCGACTCGTCCAACATGGATGCATCCCCATTTCACCGCACTCGTCAATCTCCAAGATTGCACAAAGTGCAAGCGGCCAGGATTCAAAACTTCCCTACACACACGCCTTCTTCGCCTGCGCGATGTGTCGTTGACGCAGTGCACACGTTAAAAACAAATCATGGGAGTGTTCCTTATGATACCTCGTCAACGGATCTCCGTGTGCATCCCGTTTCTTCGGCTCCAGGCGCCCAATCACCACGGCGGCAACGCTCCGCTTCCGACCCAGCTTCATTTTTTGGCATTCCGATTGCTTCTAGACAATCCTTGCCATCTGTGCCCGTGCAAAACCTCTCAGTAGAAGTCAGTGAGAGACAAGCAAGTCTCAATGCGTTTCCAGCCTTATCAGGAGCCGTCATATTGCACGAAGACGACAACGTCTCGGAAATGACAAAAGTTTACACGTTTCTGTCTTCGCAAAAAAAGGACGAATTGAGGAAGCTGGGGCGTGTTTGGGGTTGTGGGATGGCGGGCAACAAGTCGGAGCTGATCTTTCGGGCATTTTTGTTTTTGAGCGAGTGCCATCAGAAGAGGCTAGACATCCGACAGGTGATGGCGTCTAACATTCACTGCTCATCTTTTGAAGAGTACATAAAAGCTCAAGAGCTGTCATGCTCAGGCAGGAAGACCCCACCGCGTTTGTCAGTGATGCGAAATGCGCTGGTGGCCGCCGGGGATAGAGTGGGAGAAAATGGACGCCCCATGGTAGAAGAAAGGGAACCTAACGAGCACAAATCGAGGAAAGACCCAGTGCGCCCAACTTTACTATTTCAGAGTTTGCTCGGCTGATTGTTGTAATGAAGGACGACGAAAGGGTGAGAAGCGCACTTTTCAAGCTTGGACAGGAACTAAGGCGCTGTGAACTTGACTCCGGGAACACAAGAGACGCGTTTTGGGGTGTAATTGAGGGGCGTTTTAATGACCAGTCTGTCTTGGTGCATTTCTCATTTACGGGCTATATTGAGGAGGCGGATCCCTCAGTGCCACCGCTTTGCCACAGAAGCGCTGAGTTACTTCAACTACAGTTTAGGGATGCGCGTTCTGTGTTTACAGAAGCATTGGACAGGTGGGCCCGCTCTGGACAAAATGACCCAGACAGGTTTCTGAATTTTTTGTCCAAAAATGGGCAGATGTTATATGCGTCGTCCAAGCGTGCTTTGATCATGTTTGTCGTTTCACGGCTTGGAACGCCGTACGAAGACACTTTTTTTGTAGAGATGTCCTCAAAAACCATCTGGCAGGGCGGTTATGAGGCAGGGATGGATAACCTCAAACGTGGCTACAGTAACGAAGGCGATGGAGGGGCAAGTGGGAGCAAGAGAAGTAAACGTGCAAGTTTGGGGCAGGGGAATAAGCGAGCGAGCTCAGAGCTAGGAGATATTGTTCAATCGTCAATCGACAGACTTGTGAAAGTAGTTTCAAAATCATCCTCGACGGACAGAGAAGAACTGGAAATGGAGAACACAAGTGCGGACCCATTCAACTCAGCGCTGAAGTCTTGGCGTGCAGATGACTCGATGTTCGAGGTCGTCGAATCCGCGTTGAAAGCTTTAGACCGCGCCAAGGCTACTGACAACTGCGATTTTATTCAGATTGCCCAACAGCGGTACGAAAAGGCACTCCAAGCATATCGAACTATGTTTGGATAGACGAGCTATCCAGCTCCGCGTGCAGCTGCGAAGCGGCGATGTTATCAGGCAGAGGCGTAATTCATCTGATGGTCCTTCCCTGCCACTGTCGCACTTACGTCGCGAACGCGCCGCAAGAGTGCTCACCATTGCCGCTGCAGTCGAGCCACATGAGACTGCGACGGCGTTGCGGTTGGCCAGGGATACCATTCGTGAGGAGCATTTCACCTCGTTCACCCCGCGTGAGCAAACCTTCTTGCGATACACTCTCAAGGATGGCGTCGCAAGGGGTCGCTTGCGCCGCTGGCGGGGCCGTGGCCAGTTATTCCATTTTAAAAATTGTCCTCCTTGTCATTCCCTTGGTTCCGTCCGAGCTGGTCTCGCGTGCAGCCATGTAAGCCGTCTCGTTCGGGGCTGCCGTTGTCGAACTTGCCGCTTTCCCTGATATCACCACTCTCGAGTTGCTGCTCATGAACAACAGTAGTTTGGGCTGCAAAGCACGGAAACGGATCGGGGAATATAACCCTCACCTGCTCCTACTGCAGACGCTGGATAGACAGGCAGAGCACGCAGAGTATCGTGTACAAGCAGACACAGATCTGTTCGAATTTGAATCCCTCAAGCACCCTAAATCCGAGTTCTTTGACGAAGAAGTGCACGTTCGATGAACGCAGGGGTTTCAAAATTTGTACAACAATTACGCTCAGACGCGGCGTGTCCCAAAGGCACCACATGCCGATGACATTAATAAGCTTAAGACAAACAACGAGGCGCATTGATAGAATTACAAAGCGACGAGACCGCGTGAGTCAAGCAAGTTTACAAGAGTACAAATAAAGCGCGCAGTGCTCCTCGTCGAAAACGCCGGGTTCGTATTAGGCCCCGAGATCCCGCTCGCTGCGGGATTCGAGTACGGGTCCGAAATGGAATTCACCCCCCGGGCGTACATCCCCCTGGCATCCGCACCGCCATCCCTTCCAGTCAGAGGCCCCTTCCCAGCAGGATTCACCTTGGCGCGAGAGTGCAGCTCGGTCATTAGCGACTTGCCCTTTGGGGCAATGGTGCGAAAGCGCAATACTCCTTGGACGCGTCGGTCAAGTCGGCATGTCGAAAGCCCGCGCCACTCGCGCGATCGCTCTTGAGCTCCTTCGCAACAGTATTCGCAGTTTCCCTGAGCACAGTAACCGTATGGTCGCGTACCGAAGTGAAGGCGCGCCTCTGCAGCTCGACAAACCTAGCGAGATAACCGTCGGCCTCCGCGACGGCTCCAGTCGAGCTCGATGCGTTCGCCACGCACTCATTCAAACGATGCAGGAGCCTGACGAAGTCGGGGGGGGGTAGGGTCGATAGCATCCTTCCCGCCGCCGAACTTGGTGGTGAGCGTCTCCAGCTCCTCGAAGTAGGTGAGCCTCTTGCACAAAGCGTCCGCCAGCTCGCCCATGTTCTTCCGATCCGAGACCATATTCTCGCAGTCCGACTTGAACCGGACCACGACCTCGTCCACGAGCCGCCTGCCCTCCTTGACGCGGCGCAGCGCCTCGTCCGCCGCGTCCGCTACATGCAGCAGCCCTTCGACCGTGTCGCGATCGCGCTGCGGCGAGACGACCAGCGTGCGGTACTTGTGCTCGTTGGCCTCCTCGAGGCGGCACTCTATCTCGTCGTGCCAGACGTGGAAGTCCTCCGCCGTGGCGACGGTGGCGAGCCCGCGCAGGCCATCGACGCCCTTGTACGGAGATCTCCAGGGGTCGAGCTGGTGCAACTGTAAAAGTCGAGCGGGCAACTTACTCTGAGCGCCGGCCGTATCTCTGCTTCTTCCCCCTAAGAATGAGCCCCGATTCGATGCATCGTTGGCACCATCTCTGGCGGACGATGCGCTCTCCAAAGAGCACTGCGGCTGCGACGAACGGGATGCCCAAAGCAACGCTGCTGGTGATGACGTAGATGTCGGGCCCGGGCGCATGCTAGACCATACGCGGCGCGGAGCGTGGTCGGCGGGAGGACGTGCGTGTATGGCAGGTGGCGCGAGGGGAAAGGGGCTGCGCGGTCGGAACGAGGACAGGAAGGCCATTGTGAGGGTTTGTGGCAGCAGCGGAGGGAGGATCGAGAAGAAAGGGAGACTGTCTCGCAAGGTTGTACGTGTGAAACGGGATCCGTTGTTCCAATTGTCGTAATTTAGTTGGTTGGAAGCTGTTCTGTCCGAAGGAAACGGCCAACCAGGGAGTGCATTGCATTTTACCCGAAGAGACCTGCTTTGGAATTGTGTTGGATTTGAAAGCAGCTTTGTAATGTGCGAGAAAGGCGTGTCGCGTCCCAGATATCAACATATCTGTATCTCGATCGAGGATTAGACGCACTGGCCTTTGCACTGCTTGCGCGGCAACAGCAACCGCTGCTGATATGAAGAGGGAGCGTGTTTCTTTTCCACCAAAACCTCCCCCTATCCGTTTTACCTTGCAAACAACCTTGTGCATTGGTACCCCTAACACCTTTGCAACCACGTCTTGCGTCATTGCTGCAGCTTGAGTTGATGCTAGAATTACCATTTCCCCATTCTCGTCTGGTATGGCAATCGTTCCGTGAGGCTCCAAATACCAATGCTCTTGTGCGCCAATGCGAACTGAACCATTGACCGTATGACCATCCCGTTCCGCAACTGCAAATACTTCGCTAACATTTGCTTTCTGGAAGAGAGAAGGAAAATGGTGGATGCTTTTAACGAGAGTCGTCAACTACGAAAACGCGGCATCTCGGCGCTACCAACAATGTTTGGAATCAGTTTCAGTTTTCGGGCTTTGAATCAAGCTGGGGCTCTTGTACATTTATATCACGGAGACGGATCTGTTTTGATATCCCATGGAGGAGTTGAAATGGGACAAGGATTGCACACTAAAAAGGGTCAGGTAGCAGCAACAGAACTCCAGCTCCCACTAGAGATGATATTTATATCTGAAACGGCGACAGACAAGGTACCCAACGCTTCACCCACAGCTGCGTCATATTCTAGTGACCTCTACGGGATGGCCGTGAGAAATGCGTGCCAAGAATTGAATAGAAATCTCGCTCCATGCAAAGCCGCACTCGGAGATACAGCATCTTGGCTCAACGTCGTCAGCCATGCCTGGTTGAACCGCATCAGCTTGTTTGCGACCGGTTTTTACAAGACCCCAGAGATTGATGATCTCGATCTGGCCAAGCCTGGGTCGACTGGTAGCCCATTCTTTTATTATACAAATGGAGCGGCAGTATCTGAAGTCGAAATAGACGTACTTACAGGGGAAAGCAAGAATCTGCGAACGGACATAGTGATGGATGTTGGACGTCCTTTGAATCCGGCGCTAGATGTTGGACAGATAGAGGGGGCATTTGTGCAGGGGTTGGGTTGGTGCACAATGGAGGAGGTCTTGAAGGGCTCGACAGGAGCCCATGCCTGGTTGAGGCCTGGTCATACACTGACGCTCGGGCCAAGCACCTACAAGATTCCAGGGTTTTCGGACACTCCAGAGGACTTTCGAGTCAAAGTCTTAGAGACCAGAAACGAGAAAGATACGAATCACTCAAGCAAAGGTATTGGTGAGCCTCCACTTTTCCTTGCTGCGTCGGTGTTTTTCGCTATTCGGGATGCCATACGCTCGTCCAGACTGCAATATGGTCGAGATGAATGGTTTCAGCTAGACTCTCCTGCCTCAGTAGAGCGGATAAGACTTCCATTTTGTGACGATCTACTAAGACGTGTCGTTCCAGATGAAGAGGGTGTGAGACCGAAACTCACCCTTTGATGAATCTATCTTGTTAAATCCAACACATTGAAGGGCTGGGAGAGATGCCTTGCGTGCTGCCAGCTCGCAGGCGCCAGATGATGCGCTTGCACAACAGATAGTCGCCCGGAGCAACGTCACACAGTCGCTACCACGTTCGTCTCCAATCGCACCCCATGTTGTTTGAACAGCATGGCACGCTCTTTACGCGAGAAAGGCCGGAGAAATCGAGTGTGGCCGTTGGGGTGGTGCGGCGAGGGGTTTTTTTTCGGCTTTCGCTTGGAGAAGGGCGTTGATTGGCGTATCAAAGTAAGGACGAGCTCGTGCTGACGATCCCGAACACCTCAGTATGCACACAGCCCTCACCACGATCAACGGAATGACTACAGCGGATCGTTCAAAAATCGCTGTCCCTCCGTTTCAGTTTAGGTATGTCGGTATTTCGGTGCTGCTTCTGCAGCGCGGAGATGCGTGCCCTCAAGAGGTTATGGAGGTGCTGCGAACTCCACAATCTGCGCCCACCATCAATGCACGTACAGGGGACTTGTTTATTTCGTATGAGGAACCTACAAGGTACAGAACAGTGATTGGTTATTAAAAAGATTTTTCCTTCTTAAAAAGAACTGCGTTTGAATATTGCCTAAGCCGAATTTAAGCCTATTTATGGCTTTTATACACAGGTCGCCAATTCGGGAAAGTATATTTATTCTTTGCGCACTGCAGCAAAGTGTGTAATTTTTGTGAAACTGTAAAATTCACGGTTTCAAAGAGTGAATAATTCCTTGGAGTCATGATGTAGATCAATCTCCTCTACCTTTATGTCGATGAACTACAGATTCGACAATCTTGACCCATGAAGTGCGGAGGCAATGTCGCAGAAAGAGATTGCATATAGCTGGCATTTCAGAGATGCCAGCTATATGCAATCTCGCAGTCAGTCGAGCACATGATGCTCGGCAAGCGCTCGAGGAGGTGCTACACGGCAGTCCGATGGAGGTCTTGATGGGGCAAAAACTCCTTTACGTTCTACCGCGAGGGGTGCACAAAGGAGCAGCAGTGGCTGAAGTGTTGAGACGCTTCGATGTCGAGGGTGAGGCGCCGGACTGGGTTTGTTCTATTGGTGACGACCTAACCGATGAAGACATGTTTAAATAAATATATCGCAATGCTGACGGGAAGAATATTAGTGTTCACACATGTACAGTTGAACGGAAGAGCACTTCAGCCAATTATTACGTACAGCATGTTGATGAAGTGCGTGACTAGTTGGAAAGGCTCACACAAGTAGATGTAAATTCGCCTTGATGGGGCATAAAATATTTGTATAGGAAGAAGACATCGCATCTTCTCAGAGCCTGTCGCTTAATGTTTTAGTCTCGGCCTTGCCTCCCTCCTCTCACTCCGTCGCTTGCTCGTGCACACATTGTTCGGATCGTCTAGCCTGTTTGGCAGCCAACCGTTAACAGTTCGACCCCTTTCCACATCTACCAGAATGCGATGGCCTCCTGACCTCATCCGGTTCGCTTCTCGCTATGCAATCTTCATATCGCGTTCTCGTTCAAACTCAACAAATGCGTAGTCTCTCAAAACTCCCTCTCGATCTAATGGCATAACAGTTGCCACAGGGCCATATGCCTCGAATGCATCCTGCAATGACTTCTCCACCATGGTAAAGGGCAGATTAGCAGCAAAGAGCGTGCGATACGCAGTTTTTGTCTTTGCAGAATCGTCGCTTTTTGGGTCCCACTGGTCTCCTCTCGTTTTTAACGATTTCCGAGGCCTTCTTCAACGCGGCGTTCCGAACACGCCGCCTTCTTTGAGCAGGTGTTTCAAAGGGTGTCTCCGGCTTGCTCTCACTTTCATCAGCCATTTTCGTATCGAGGGGTTCGGGGGAGAGGAGAGAGGAAGAAGGTCGAGGCGGCGACGGTGTCTCGCGGGACAACTCTGCAGCTTCCATTGCGGCGGGGACCACTGCAGGACTTGAAAATGGATAAGATGTGGGCGAGTGCAGTGATGATGCGGATAGGAAGCGTAAATATCACCACCCGAATCCGCCCCTAGGGGTGAAGGCGGGAGAAGGAAGAGAAGAACGACTGGGGGAGGTGCAAGAGAGGATGGCGAGCGATCCGTTTTTGGGGAGAGCGCAGGCTGTTCACTTGCCACACGCTCACGCGGCGTGGCACGTATGCCCGAGTCATAATACTGATCCATGGAAATAAATATCCTTATTACATAAAAAATCACATCCCGTTGCGCTGCGCTGCGCGTTGGTGTGCCGCGCGCTGGACACAGACCGCCTGCAGAGCGAGTGTACAAAAAGAAAAATATGACTATGACACAAAAATTAATTCCCGGAGACTCCCTGGGGGCTTGTCACTGCGCCCGCCCGCATCGCTTCGACCACGCCTGCTGCAGCTCCTGCCCGGGTAGCCCGCCCACCTCACCGACGCCCGTCCGTTTGGCGTCGCCCGCGCGCTTGCCATCGGCCGCCGGCGCGTCGGCCGCCGCTGCCGTATCTATACCGCCGCGCAAGCGCTACGCCCGCTCGCGACCCGACCGTCCACACCGCGCCCACCCCCGCTCCCTCCAAAATTGGCCTCCCTTTCCAGCCTGCAGTCGCAACGGCGCGTCCTCGGCTCGCCCGTGCCGCTCGAAGCCGTCGCGCTCCCGGCCTCTGTGCCTTCATCCACGTCTTGACAAACTGCTTATTGTACAGCTCAAACTGTGAGACATTCATCTCGTCGACCATTTCAGAGCTCCAAGTTTCGCCGCCTAACGGTCCCCCGAGCACCCCCTCAACCGACGCCACCGATTGCAGAAAGCAAATTCAGGTACTCACGCAACCGTCTACGAATGTAGTCATCCAGCCCGACATACGCCCCCGACGACGAGACAGACGCCGACGACGTGCCCGCCGAAAAAGTCAAGTCGGGCATGAATCACCGCTCGACGCACGTAATGCGACACAGCGGGTCGATACTCCCCGACACCGACACCTTGCCCGTCGTCAAATTGACCAGTGCGTCCACAATAGGCACTCTGCCGTTCCGCGGAGGCCGTCTGGGCGCTTGGAACCGGGGACGGTTTCCCGGGCGTAGACAAACAACAAGTGTCTCCATTCCCCGGCGACGGCGTCGACGACACTGGGACAGAAGAGCTCTTCGAGCCGCGAATCGGCGTCTGCTACTTGGGCGTGGGCTTCCCCGAAGGCCGCGTCGGCGTGGAGCTAGACTTTTGCAAAAATGCGTGGGCAGTCTGCACGAGCGGAGACTCCGTCTTCGCGGCGGCGGCCTTCTTTGCGGCCGAGGCGGCGGTCGACGAGAGTTGCAAGCCCACGTTATGCGACGTGCCTATACGGCAGGCCCTCCTAGATTGATTCGGAATGAGCTCTGCCACGAGCGGCAGTGAGGCGTACGGCTGGAGAATGACGCGATCGCCGTGTCCGAACAGGGCGAGCGGGAGGCCGAGGGCAGCGGAATCGGGCCCGTGGTCGAGCGGGGGCACGGCGGGGGCAATGGTATCCAGGGCGCCGATGATGTGTGAACACGGGGGAGTGTGCTCTTGGGATGAGGGTAGAGCACTCTGACTCAAATATGCTAAAAATATCACATTTCACTGTAGCTGCACTCCCAAATTATTCATTTTTCTGCTAGGGAGTTTAGCGCTACTCTTGTAGTCTCGTTCCGCACGATTTGGCCATGTCGAACTGCGAAACTGTGGTTTGTGTTCTTGTTCAGTTGCCCGGAGAATGACTGAAGGCAACATTGTCCGGTGTCTGCCTCAGGTAGTTTTTGAAAAGACGAAGAAGGCGCCGTTGCCCTTGTCATTTTATAAGGGCTTGCGATCCGCGCGCGGTATCTTTTATCAATATTATGTCAGATCGAAGAATGGGTTGCAAGACGATATGAAGGATTCCATCTTTTGGACTTAGGAGAGAGCTTGTCCATGACATCTCGCGTAAAGTGTCCACGGCTTCCAGAAAATCTTGAAGGCTACGAAGAACAGCAACAAACCCTCTCACGCGGCGTTTGTTCGAATCAACAAACATGACACCGCCGCTGTCAACTGCAGCTTGCTGATGTAATGTAGGGTAGATGTAGGACCAAAGAGACGGCCATTTCGAAGAAATGGACTCATTTCTCCAATGCAAGGCACTTCTCCGAGCAAACCGCAACCATTTCTCGTAACTCGACGCTTATGTTTCTCACGATTTTGGCCCAGTCACATAGGTCATGCATTCCTACGCCGCATGCTGTGCACGAAAACGAAGTTTTCAATCCCGGAAAGCGACAATGCTTCTCCCCAATCCCACAGGACATTCCTTCTTTCTCCTTTTCGTTGTCGGTTTCCTTTATTCCTCTCCGAGTACATCGCTCCAGTTTCCTTCGCTTGAAGGCTTGGTCTTGAACAGATGCGACTAACCTCCTTTTTGCCGCTTTGAAAATTTCCGAGTCATGTTCTAACGCGACGTATTGGATACCTAAGTCCAAACATGCCAAACCCATGGACATAGAGCCTGCTCTAGGATTATAACAGATACCTGCAGGTTTGCACCATTGCTCGAGAATAGATACACTGAGATCCTTTTCAATGTCTCTAACTTTAAGGATTTTGCCTTGTTCACAGCAGAGGGGATTTCGCGATTGTTGTACGTTTGTGACACAGTTCACCCACGACGGATGGGTTGAGCTTCTGTAACCTTTTGCAAATGAGTAATGATGCTTTTGCCTGCGATCTGGTGATCTCCAGAATACTGCTGCGATGAAGCCTGACTCTTGAGGGTGCTGTGATAATGTCTTTCTCTTGATTGTTGACGGATCTTGTATGTAAAGCATGGGATGCTTCATCATTTCCATGCCCTCCGCACATACAACTGAAAAAAGCTTCGAGAAGTGAATAAAATTGCACACGATATAGCACACGCCGCTCTGTTTCATCGCCATACCGCAGTGACGTACAACCTGTTTCAGGCGGTCCTCATTAGATTCATCATCTTGTAGAACAGTCATGACCATATCGGC